GAGCCGGGAGGACCGCAGGATTGGCCGTAGTTACTGTGAGGCGATCCGATATGGACAAATCATGACAGAACTAGCTGGCTGCATAGAGATGATAACTATTGTGTCTGTGGCGAACTGCAGCCGAGTCAAACGCTCGCGGGATCATAGGGTATCAGGCGACCAGGGCTCGCCTCCACCGTCATTCTGCTAGTGCGCTATAGTTTGCATTCAACTCGTTTGCTGTGATTTTGGCCCAACGAAATGCGATTCCCCAATATGCATTGCATCATAGGGGGATGCGGTATGAGGAAAAATCGTCGCTATCAAACGACACTCGCATGCACTCTGACGACACCAGGTACCTGCGATACATCAGTTACTGCAGTAAAATGCATTACTATCGGCTGCTGTCGCATTTTGATGCAATATTATGTGTAGTCAGTTCAGTCCGATAACCTTTTTTATCACTGTAAGTTTCTTACAAAGAACAGCTCTTCGTAACGTACAAAGGATTTGACACCTTTGTAATACAAACAAATCCTTTGTATTACGAATGGTTTGGCTTTGTATTACGAAGAGCACGTGTCTGTTAAGAAACTGGCGCACTTTGTAATACGAAGAAAATCCGTTTGTAATATGGTGGTTCCAGATCCTTTGTACGTTACAAACCCAATTCTTCATAATATGAAGACCACTCTTTGTAAGGAACTAAGAGTGATCGCTCCCGTATAGAGGTGCAATATTAGATGAGAGATTCGCATTTTGAGCCGTCGTCGTTATTTGCATATTGAATTTGAAAAAGTCTTCATATATTTGCACTCTTCAATAAGTTTACAGTGTCCCTCCTCTGTATGGCTGTGCCGCATATCTTTTTCTCCCTCCGCGCCGTGCGGGTTGGGGTCTCGGGCTCTGCCTGCTTGCCACTTGACAGTAAGACTGTGCAAGCAATTAGATTCCACAAGAACTCTCCGTCGACGAACGGGGCTCGGGCTCATGCTGGCTGCTTCACCGGGCCGAGTGGGGAGCAGCGGGGGATCGCAGCGAAACGCGATGAGGCTTTGCTATGTCTCTACTGCGCTCCATCTGCTGGAGAGAGAGAGAGAGAGAGAGAGAGAGAGAGAGAGAGAGAGAGAGAGAGAGAGAGAGCAGTATAAGTACAAAGCCAAATGAAGAGTAAGGAAACGGAAGCGCCACGACGCGGGAGATGGGCAAAAATCCCCCACTCCGCCGGGCTCAGGAAGAGAAGAGTAACCACACCGAGTACAACACGCGGGCGAACACGGCGGCGGCGGCGCAGAGAGAGAGCGTTGCGATCAGCTATATAGAGGCACTACAACTACTGTGCGCTGCCCCCGCTCCGCATAGGCAGGCCCCTCTCCAGCCGCCGCGGAGCTTGGAACGCGTTAGGCTACAACGTCGAGCCGTCGGCTCCGAGTGGCGACCTGGCTCCACACGGCGGCATAGAGATCGCGCAAACACGAACATCCTCTTCGCCGCAACTCGCAGAACGACACGCGCGGGTCGCTCGGCCAGTGCAGTGTCGCGTGGGTTATTGCAATTTTAATCGCAGTCTGCCCTCGGTCGAGCGGGTCGAGTTGCACGTGCTGATGGTGAGGTAGAGGGGGCGGCAACGGCCCAGGAGGACTAGGGTCGGAATCCCTGGAGACTTTCCAGAACATTTCAGGAAAGTTTCGGGCAAAAACGAAAAATTTCCGGGGAAAATGCATGACGTTCACATTCGAACAATCGCAGCCAAGTTAAGAGGCTGGGGCCCATCTTGCTCGCTTTGATGCAGAATGTAACCGTCACAGCCGAGGCCACCGCGCTGTGAGCGGTCCATAGTGAGAAGACAGGTTTGTTTTTTCGTGTTTTTCTCGCCTTGCTTGGAAATCAATTAATGTCTTAAGTGCTGTCTCTGGTCTGGGGCGTCTACTCGTGCTACTCCGACTTTTCGTTCCACCCTGGAAACGTAAACGAATTTGACAACTAAGCACCGTTGGTTTTCCAGTGTGTCAACGAACTTCTATAGAGCTGGATACGAGGCAGTGATAGTAGCTCTCTCTCTCTCTCTCTCTCTCTCTCTCTCTCTCTCTCTCTCTCTC